GAATGAATGAATGAGTCCACTACATAGACTGAGACATTTCTCTATGAACACGCTCAAAACCTTGTAAATATGTCTACAGTTCCATTCAAGGAGCATTTTGGCCTTGACAACACTGTTTTAAAAGCTGGAGACCCCTCTCTCACTGCTCTCACTCTGTCGCTGTTATTGTGGCAAAGCCAAGTAATCTGAAAAGAACATGTAATGGGAAGCATTTGCAAGTCTTTCCTACTCACATGAAAAGTACAAGCTGGATGACAGGAGCCATGCGAAGCAATTCCGAGAAGGAGTTGACAAAGAGATCGTAGGACAACAATAAGAACTGCAAAGAGAGCACCAGGCTGTAATTGCTAGTCTGGAGCATCTTTCTTCCCCAGGATTCTGGAACCTCAGTGTCTGCATTCCAGGCAGCAGAACCACCTTATAGTCATGTTACGAAGGAGGCAAGCTTCCTCAGATCTGCAGACATATGTGGAGGGATGGAAAAGTAAACGGGAAAAAATGTAGTAATGTAAGACAGAGACACATGCCTTATTAACTGCTGCTAGTTACATACTGTTTAGGTCATATCTTAATATCAAGAAATGATCGATTGTTCCACTCCAGAATGACAAAAAGAGAGACTCTTGCTTCTTACCTAAATGAAACAAAATCCTTTTTTTTTTTTTGGGTGCCTTTGAGTCAGTGTTGGCTCCTGGCGAGTGCCTGGACTAGTCCCTGCAGTTTCTTTGGCAAGGTTTTTCAGAAGTGGTTTGCCCTTGCCTCCTTCCTCGGGCTGAGAGAGGTTACCCAGACTCACGGGTCTCCCAGTTTCTAGCCTGCTGCCTTAACCGCTACACCAAGCTGGCTCTTTGTTATTTATTTATTTTTGCCAACCATAATGTTTATACTTGCTACCGAACGGAATGCTTCATTACTTTTGAAACAGAAAACACTGCCTACAATTCACCCACGGGGTGTTTCTAGACTTGGGACAGGAGACCACGGGGGAAAAGAGGCACCTGACGATCACCTCCGCTTACGTGAGAAAGGCTGAAACGCCCCCTTCTAAGATACCAGACTTCGCTCAATGCAGGACTTACCGGAGGGTAACGCAAGCCCACTTCAACCGGAGGGTACGAGATCTGTCATAGGGGTCTTCTCTGCAATCGAGTACAGTCCCGCTTTGAGTAAGACGCGAGGGACCGGAGGACCTTCAGCCGCTGCGCCGGCGCAGCCCACGCCGAAGAGCAAACAAGGCAGGGCTGGCGCCCCGCGCACTGTCACTTCGCGCCGCCACAATCGGTCCCCATGGCGATAGCGCAGCGGCACGGAGGAGGTGCCGGAGCAGCGCGCCCGGAAGTGCAGCCGCGGCCGCAGAGACCATAGATGCCTTGTGACGGAGTCGGAGTACTAGCTCCGCGTCTGGTGAGGCACTTCCCGAAGGCTGCCCGTCGGAGCCCGGCAGCACCTTCGCGTGGTCTCGATCCTCGGAAAACCCGCGGAGGCGGATTACTGGTGCTGCGATCTGGCACCAGCTCCCCGCTCTTTCCCCATGGTTGAGTTAAGCAAGTCAGTGCAGTTTGGGCTCTGTGGAGTAGGAATTTCATTTAGTGTTCCCACGGAATTTTAGCTTTGATTGATAGACTGATTGTGCCATCAAGTCGTTTTCGACTCCTAGCGACCACATAGATAGATTTTCTCCATGACGACACTGAAGATAGCATTTGGCTAATGTAGATGCACTCTTCATCGTGTTTGCCACCTTTTTCTTTCTTTTTTTTTATGTTTTATTGATTTTATTGTAATTTCTTTGATTGTTGTGAGCTACTCAGAGTCGGGAGATACACAAGTTTAATAATGATGATGATGATGATGATGATGATGCAGTTGTGTAAATGTAGTCCTCTTCTAATATTAAAGATCAGCACTAGGATAATGCTTTGCCTAGGCTATTAACAATCCCAATATAATTGATCGCCGAATTAGAACCACACACACACCACCCCCCATTGTGCTCTACTGACAAGTTCAGTTGTAGAATCCATTCATACAGGTAGCATTTACCCCTGCTTAACTTAAGCATGGTTTAGCAACCCAATATTCTGGGTTCACACAAGTGAAGCATAAATTAACCATGGCCGGATTGATACAACACACTAGACTAAATTTCCCCCACCTCGGGAAGAGCATGAAATCCTGGCTATGCCAGATGGCCTGGGAGCCACATGGGGGCTCACACCAGTGGAAGTGGCTTGCGGGGTAATTGATGTTACTCCCCCGTCATCTTGAATGTTTTTTAGTTTTTATGTATAGGGCTTGTTTCTCTAGTTTGACTTTTTAATTAATTAATTTTAATTAATGAATGGGAGTATTTATTTTCTAACTGTTTGTGGCTTTTATGGTGAGCTGCCCAGAGTCACCCACTGGGGGAGATGGGCGGCATACAAATTTAATAAATAAAAAATAAATTTGGTTAGAGTGTTTGTAGCTCAGTGCATTGTGCAAATTCAAACAAATGTGTTAATTCAGTAAAGCATATTTCAATTAAAGATTAGCGTACTGGGTGAATATAATCACACCTCTTGTAAAATCTTGATTTTCCTTATTAATTTCTATAAGTAACTCTCCAAGTAAGTACTCATAGAAATAATGACCATTATTTTACTTTTCTATTTATATTATATATAATGATTGCTATTATGGTATATTAAAGTGCAGCTCACTATATCAGATAACCCTAACCCAAAACAAACCAGCCACATTATGACTTACTTCTGTAATGTGGAAACTCTGTTTCTGGACTTACACATTTAACTCAATGAATGAGGCAGCTAATAATTCATGCTAGGGATCGTAATCTTTCAATTAGTGTGTGAGAAACAGACATTTCCATTGATACATCTACTTGTCTGCATAAACATGTTGCACGTGGCAGGCAATTGAGAAAATTACAGGAATCAGTGTGGAGGCAGTGTGAACTTGTGCATGAGGCTGCAAATATATGTACATATTATAATATATGTATGAGGACACGAAGAAACGTACTAAAGGCAAAAACAAAAGAAGCGGGAAAAAGGGGCGGGATAACTTTTAAATCTCTCTGAAAAGGAGATTCGCTCCAAACTACACGTGAGGCTAAGAAAACTACATTTCCCAGACATCCAGAGAAGTCGGAAATCTTCATTGGGCGGGGTTAAGTGCGAAAAAGAGCGTAAGTTCTTCGTCCGCAATGAGCAACGACAACGACAGTGTTGAAGGGGCTGTTGAGGACTGGAACTACCTTTCCCGACGCTCTCTGCGACTTAGGCGGAAGCGAGGTGTCAGAAATTGTGCGCGTTGCTCAGTTATCTGCTTAACAGTGGTTCGTTGTAACTGGATTGAGGAAGGAAATAATGATATTCTTTAATATCTGCAATCATTGTGACTATAAGTGACCTACAAGGTCATTCTTGTAAAGGATCATAGCAGGTTCTCCCGCCGATATTTTGTTCCAGAAGACTTTGTTTTTTCTTTTTTGGCCAATATCACTTCCTGTGGCCTTTGATTGGCCCATCGACAAAGCTACTTTATTTTCCCCCGGAGAGTGCGAGACATTTGCTACTTCTTAGATCTGCAGCTGCACACTCTGCTTCACTAGAAAGCATTAATGCAATTGGTAATCTGTATGCTATTGCGTGGGTAATTACTCCGTCTTTTGCCAACACAGTTAATGCTCTTTAGACCAGTTAATCTGAAAAATGGCTAGGCATGTTTTTCAAAACAGAGCACAGAGATGCACTTTATTGTTTACTCAGTAAGGTTGGTATTAGTTCCTCAAACAATATATAGCACCAGCAGCCTGAAGTTTGTAGGCTTGTAGTAAAGCTCTGCTTTGAAATCTGAGCCTTTAGTGTTACTTGTTTTGCTGTTTTTCAAAGAACAAAAAAGGAAAGTATGGCATCTAAACTATTCCTGTTACAGTATTTTTGTTGTTGCAAAGCAGCCTACTGCATTCTGTTGACACGGAAGGACAGATTATGATAGAAAGCACTTAGATTTCTTCATACTTGTACAGCTCACTTCAGCTTTTCTTTCCTCATCTATTTGTTCTTCCAACTACTGTATAGTGCTATTGTGAGTTTGTATACTTGTGTGGGTACATGATTAAAAATACCATTTATTTTATGGGCACAGTTACATATTCCTGATCAATTCTGGGAAGAGAACAGAAGTCACCACAACTGGAAGAGCTGGATTTATCTGACTTGGCTTAAGCTGGCAGCCCGTGTTCTGTTATCTACGTGGGGTTTTTTTCTTTATTCCTCCACAGTATTTAGGTGACATAATCTGATCTCTTTGATCTCTTTCCTTGATCTCTCAGCGGCTTTCGATACTGTCAACCACGGTATCCTATTGGGATGGCTCAGGGTGGGCGGCACAGTCTTGTGCTGGTTCACCTCCTTTCTTCGGGGCCGATCCCAATTGGTGTTGATAGGGAGCAAGAGGTCCCATCCTCAGCCCCTCCTCTGTGGGGTGCTGCAGGGTTTGGTTCTCTCTCCGCTCCTTTTCAACATCTACATGAAACTGCTGGGTGAGATCATCCGCCATCATGGGATGAGGTATCATCAGTATGCTGATGATATGCAATTATACATCTCCATCCCTGGTGAGGTAAGTGATGCCATGACTGCCCTTTCATGGTGCCTGGAGGCTGTGAGGGTCTGGATGGGGAACAACAGGCTCCAGCGCAAGACGGAGTGGCTGTGGGTTACTGGCTCCTCTGTAGCCGGGACATTATCATCGTTGGTGCTGGATGGGGTAGCACTGCCCCAGACAGACCCAGTATGTAATTTGGGGGTCCTCCTGGACTCACAGCTCGCAGCCAGGAGGCAGCCGCGGCCAGGAGGGCTTTTGCACAGCTCCGGGTTGTGCACCAGTTACACCCTTTTCTGGATTGGGATGCCCTTCGAACGGTCACTCACGCCCTTGTTATCTCCCAGATAGACTACTGCAATGTGCTCTACATGGGGCTACGCTTGAAGAGTATCCGGAAGCTTCAGCTGGTCCAGAATGCAGCTGCGCAAGCTATTTTTGGGGTCCGAAGAAGGACCCATATAACACCATTACTCCATGAGCTGCATTGGGTACCGGTTTGCTTCCGGGTTCAATTCAAGGTGTTGGTTATCACCTTTAAAGCCCTACATGGCATGGGGCCAGGTTACCTAAGGGACTGCCTCTCCCCCTCAATTTCAACCCGTCCGACCCGATCTCACAGACAGGGCATGCTCCGGACCCCCTCGGCAAAAGAACTCTGACTAGCGGGGTCTAGAAGGTGGGCCTTCTCTGCTGTAGCCCCCGCCCTTTGGAACATCTTGCCCCCGGAGGTGA